CATTGGCGACTCGTCATAATATTATACAAATAAACTAGTTGTTCTTTATTTCGTTCAATTAAAATTTAATAAATAATCCCTAAATATTCCGTGCGATTATAATTAATATAATTAATACATCGTGATGGCTTTGTATGAAATGCTAAATTAATTTTATTATTTGACGTCTATTGGGACACCTATGGATTTACTTCTATCCCTAGGCTTTTTTGAGTTTTTTGTCTGCCGCAAATGAAAAAGACGCTCTTCAACTATCTCTATACAGGCATATAAGGTTGTATATCATGGCCGCTTGAAAAAAAAATATGTTTTAAAAGTTGACAGTTTATTTTGCGGTTAATTAATGTCGTTAGACCTGAATGGTCCTAGACTTTTTTCCATAAGAGTTTTTATTTAAAAAATCCACATAAAATGTATTCACAATTGTTTTTGTAATTTTGACTCACTTTAAAAATCTATTTTATTAGGGAAAATTCAAAATTCGCGTTTTAACGTAATATATCTATTTATTGTAATCAGCCAGTTGCTATATAAACAAATATGCGGTCTTTTATTCAGAATGGTTCACACTTTCCAACATTTCCAACGATCTGGTTACGCTTTCACTCTTACATTGTCCAAGTGCTCAAGAGTTTCTACGATTTTTATTTCTTAATTTAATTTAGTCAAAACGCCGTTTGCTAGTGTCAATTTTAATTTTGTTAAAAATAAGAAAGAAAATTCAGAACCCAAATAAACAATAATAATTGTTCAAATTCTTTCGTATGAAACGTGGAGGTCTAGGGCCATCGCTTTTTTATTTCACATTATTAGTACAACCGTTAATAGATTTTTTTAAAAGATTACACATAAAAATGTCCATTGCATACTTTAGTTATGATAATCCTATTGCTTCGTGTCTGGAGTGTGAATCTGAAGATTCGTTGTTGGTGTATGCTTATTAAAAATTATATTAACCAATTAAACCAATTTTCCCAAATAATTACAGAATATTGTAAAAAGCTACCTTTGTTATTTAAAAAGATACAGAGAACATATTTTTTTAATGGTTACATTGCGTACTAATAAAGTGGTAGTTTAATTGTTAATCATAATGAGAACCAACAACAATATTAAACAGTCTCAAATTCATCCCTGTTAGGAACCAATACAACCAACGATTAAATGTTTAAAGAAAAACTAAACAAATAATAATATTAGATGGAAAACACACAGTCTAAATTATTTTTTAAGAATTCTCCAAACACAACATACACATCACAATACTCAGTGAATACCACTCACTAAAGGAATGCACATTAATATTTAACATAAATGCTATGACCGAATCTAATTTTAAATTTTATCTTTCAATCATCAGGGCTGAATGCTCCCGTGGACGAGTTTATGTTCGTGCCGCGCATTACGTCACTTGATTATTAGTAGCCTCTCGAATACACCTATAATATCAATATTATCAAAGAATAAAGTCGTTTTTTTAAAATGTGATATTGAAGATAGTGTTAGTATGGATATGTATAATAATATGTTGTTAATATATGTATGCTAGATGCTTTAAAAAATATTAATTAATATTTAAATCTATTTTTTATTATTAAAAGAAAATACATTAATTTTAACCAAAAATATTTATTACAATTTTAATTTATACTAAATACAAAAATTCTCATAAAAATTTTATAAATACCTGCGAATTTTTGTATTGATTTATTTTAAATCTTTTGTTAATATTATAAATTCAAAATAAAATTTTTAAAAGGGCGCGATTTTGTTTTGTGTTCTTTTTTACATTTTATTAATTAATTAATAAAATGCATCCAAATATAAATTGCATTTAATAAATAAAAATGGCAAAACACAAACTCAAACACAAACAAAACAAGTTAACGCAACACAGAAACAATAAGTTTAGCACAAAGAGAACAGGTTAACACAACTCAATAACAATAATTTAAACACTGAAAAGTAATTCAAACCTTATCGAACTCAAAAACAATTAGTTTAGTTTAAACAAAGCAAATTATCAACCAACAACAACGCAAAAACAAGAAGTTTAGCACTAGATAAAAAAACGCACGTTACATCCACCTTACCGATTTAAAAATAAGAAATTAATTATTCAATGCCGAAAACCCCATATACCCATGTCACACTTCGTCACTAAACATGTAATGTAATTTATGGACGGCCCCTAATATAAAACCTATTGACTGCTGTTACAAAGATTTGAAAATTGAGTTACGATTATGCATTTAATGTAAACCCTCCCGAGACAAAATTTAGATCGTAATTTAAACCTAATAAGTCTGAACAATTTTCGTATTGAAGGGTTTTGTTTTCCATTTTCCCGATTTTTCGGTTCTACGTTTAAATTTGAACCAAATTATGACCGTTTACAACCTACAGTCAAAAAAAGCCCAGGCCACTGCGCATGTCGATTAATAAAAGCGCGAAAATATTTAAATTTAAATATATTGTTGCTGCGCCTGAAAAAACAGCTATGTGCATTTTAACAAATTTTACAGGAGAAGGAAAAGACGCCTTACGGGGTTACGTAAAGGACCCCTTAAAAACCCCTTACGTTGTTACGTAACTCTATTTCTGCTGTTCCGATTGCTTGTCTTGTAACCGTCTGTATATACAGCCCGTTCAGAGTAAAACCGAATATAGGGAAACGTATCGGGCGTGGCCTCGCCTCCCTCCAACGCGCGTCACAGTAGCTTGTGTGATAAACGACATGACGAAAGGTCGAGCAGGTAAGACGACCTTGAAAATTAAATGGTTATAATGCAAAAAATCTCATTGACATTCGCTTAGCTACTGTGTCGCGCGTTGGAGGGAGGCGAGGCCACGCCCTATACGTTTCCCTATATTCGGTTTTACTCTGAACGGGTATATGAAAATAGACGATAATTAATTATTCGGAAAACCTGTAAATCAAACAGAACTTGAATAAAAATTTTGCATTTAAAGAAATTTTATTTATATATTTTTTAATTGATATACAAATAATATAAATTTCTAAAATAAATGGACGAATTCTTTACATTTATTATTTGGGGTAAAATTTAAAAAAATGGAATTTATCAATGGTAAAATTTTATTATTGAAATAAAATGATTAACTTGGTTTATAATCCGACCAAAAATTTTATTAGAGGTTTATTTCGGTTCAAATAAAGATTAATTCGGTTGTTCTAGTGCTAAATTGGAGTTAACAGGCTGAACAGGTTTTAAATTTTTGATTGTTCTATTATATTCAAAAAGTTTTATTACATCAACATAAACTTTATATGAAACATAAGCAAAACTTATGAATAGCAAACAAAAACCGCTAAACTTCTCTTTCCATTAAAATTACTCTGTTTTATTTAAATTAAGGTATATCAGTCGACTCAGCAGCTCATCTAATAAACTCTCGGTGTAAATCCATGACAGATGTGTATTTTATATTTCGCCATGACAGCAATAATCCGGAAAGTCCATCTGCATCCAATTAAAAACGACACGGTCAGCGGTCGATATGGAAATAACCGAAAAAACACTGATCGATAGCCGAGAGGAAAATACCCTACCCAAATTCGTTTCCATTGACGAGGGACGGATTTGCTTAAAATATTCTGGAATGTAAAGTATATTTTAATATTAATATTTAAATACCAATTGGAGTCCGCTAATTACAATGGTCTCAAATCTGCAGCAACACAGCATAATAGGACACCACTCGACAGCTCTTTTCCTTGACATTAGCAAAGCTTTTGATAGTGTGTGGCATAGAGGCTTGTTATATAAACTCTATCTTCTGGACTGCCCAGAATATCTAATGTGGCTGATTAAAAACTTCTTGGAAAACCGATCTCTTAGTAAAAATAAACAAATTCACTTCAACATCTTTTTCAATGGCCCAAGGAGTTCCTCAAGGCTCCCCATTATCTCCAACACTTTTCAATTTATTCGTTTACGATAAAATAGATGTCAACTATCTGACCCAAAAAACTTACATACTGCAATACGCCGATGACACAGCTTTAATAGCCCACAAGAAATTCCTCTTAAAAGCTCTCAATAACCTGCAATCGGCAATTAACATGATCTCTAATTGGCTTGCATGTTGGCGAATAAAGATTAACGCCAGGATATGTGAGTTTTGTTTTTAATCACAAAATTAAAGATGACTCGCCACAAATATCAATAGAAATCCAACATATATTCCCCAAAAACAGTATTAAGTATCTTGGAATGATTATTGACTCCAAACTTAATTTTAATTGTCACACTCGAACCATTAAACAAAAGGTCATTACTATAGCAAAACATTTCAAATCTCTAACCTTTAAGAAGCAAGGTATAACTATCCAAACAGCCATATACAAAATGATCTGTTGGACTACGGTTCCATAATATATCAAACCTGCAGAAGACCTTCCCTAAAAAACCTGGAGACTGCAGAAACAACAAGCCTTCGGCATCTAACCAAAATTAGACATTCAAGAAACCCCTTATTCAACCCCTCAAATCTGCTTTTGTATGAAAGAACCAACATGACACCCATTATGGAAAGAATATGTAACCTCTCTGAGAAATTCTGCAATAGAAGTAGAAACCTTGAAATAATGGAACCCTTTATTTTTCCTGAAATAGAAGGCATCCCAAAAAAAAGGAAATTTCCAGTCAAATCCCTGTGGAAAATTATTTTGGAACAGATAGATTAATATAAATTGTTTTTTTTTAAGATAATTAAGTTTATATACCTAGTTTATAACTATATCAAATATTTTGTAAAATAAAATTGTATTTATATAGGCAGAAAGATTTCGGTCGATAGCCTTTTGGTTTTTCCAATAAATATATTTACTACTACTACCAATTGGAGGGCTGGAAAGCCTAAGCCCCCTGGCTCGACCAATCACCAAAGTTTATATTTAAAATAAAGAATATGATGAGTTAGTCAAATGTGTTAAAGTCCAAATAATAAAAGTAATTTCATAAAATGTAACTTACTGACTAGCGTGACGTATGGGTTGGAGCTTCTATTGAAGAACATGGGTCCGCAGGCGTCCTCTTGTCGCTTGGTGTGGGCTCCAATTTGCACTTCTATGACGTGGACGTCCCGTCGGTAAAAGGACATACACGTGAATCCGCTCTGGCTGCAATAAATCATGAATATGCATCATTACACGTCTTGTCATGTTACTGAATAATTGTCAACAGACCGCACCGTCGCAAATTGTTGAATCATTGATAATAACATTATCCAGAATTTATGAAGGTGCGCCTACATGTAGGTTTTTACTCGCGCTAGTGAAGTTTAGTTTTAGACTGTGCTGATTAAATGTAAATATTTATGTTATATTGTTTGTCCCACCACACACTCATGTAGAATTTTCACATAATACGCCAGAAAAGAAAAATAACAAAATAAGCGATTTCTTCATTTCTCAATTAGTGAAACTATGATCTAGGAAGTTTAAGATTGTTAATATTTTTGTCTATATCGATGCTACTACACTGTTATAAAAGTTAGATTTGTTAAGATGAGTTTGTAGTTTTTTAATTTTATTTTTTAAAATTTTAAAATAAATTTTTGTTGAAAACTAGGGTTTCTAATTATTTTTACAAAGGAAAATATTTTACCGAAAGTTTTGTAAAAGAACTATGCAATTTTGTAAGCATTTCAGAGGCTACTGTTAAACAAATTATTTCGTTATAAAAGTACACGTGATTTCAGGCAGTCAGTCAAAACATTTTCCACTGACAATACCCATTAGCAAGTTAAACTGACTTCAGCGTCTGCAACTTATGTTTCTGCTTGTTGTATTCTAATACGTAAAATGTTGTAGAATCATTCAAAACGATAATAATTCAAAGGTATTCAAATATATTTTGGCTTCATTGGTGTCCCATTAAATTAATAGGTGTATAACAATTGTTTAATACATATATTTTTGTAAAACTACAAATTTTTCTGTTTGAATCAAATTTACCCGATTATTTAAATTAATATAATTTCATATGCTTTTCATGACATGATATTTATATCCATAATGTTTATAATATATAACCAGAAATCTGTTATTATAATTATTATTATTATTATTATTATAATTATTATTATTCGGATTCCTTATACCTATTTTACGAAAAAAGATGCCATAACTGGTTTTCAAAATAAAATTAGGGGCAACAGTGAAGTGCCTTAAAATTACGAAATACATTAGTTGTAGTAGTACTGATAATTATATTGTACCAAATTTCTTTATAATTTGATGATTTCAGAATGGTGTGTTATTTAATTGTGTTTATGTTATTTCTGTAGGTATGTATTAATTTTTTTGTTTAGGAAATTGATTAATAAAGCAACATTTCTTATTAAAATTATTTCCCAAGTTCCCAATTTCCAATAAATACTTTTGTTACTGGGTCTACATAAAGGTTTTAAAAATTACAATTACAATTATGGTTAAATTATTGATATAGGATTTTGTTGTACAAAATGTTTGTTATAATTACAAGTTACTTATTAAATTACAGTTGGTTAACATAAAGTTATGTGGACCTAGATTAACATATAATCAGCTTAATATTTGGTTAAAATAAACAAATATTTTTTTAATGTGGAAGAGTTTTTAAACGCATCGTGTTCAGTGCATCTAAAAGCTTCTTAGAATCACCCGTTTACACTCGTTTTTCAATATATATATTGGTTCGCATCTGAAGATTTTATTGGTTTTGTCGACAATTGTACAATTACAACCATAAAAACAATCTAAGAAAACTTAACCCAAAAATCAAAATACTGATTTGTCAACCAGTGTGCGATTCTCGTTCAAAATAGTTATTTGTTTTACAAGTGTTGAAAAGCGAGTTTTTCATGCGAGTTTTTAAGTTGCCCACGAGGCCGTTAGGCCGAGTGTGCATTAACACGAGCTTAAAGAAAGCTTTTCTCACAAGTATAACACAATGTTTTTTCTGCGACCCTTTTATTTTTATTATTTTTAAATACAAAACAAAATAACTTAAAAACTTTTTCGACAGCTGAATGTCAAACGATGCTGTCAATTTATTTTCATACAGACCTGTCACTTTTCACACAGAAATGTCACTTTACATTCGTGTTTTGCCTTGCCAATGAAAAGATCCATTTTCTAAGCAACGATGTCACCATGAAAAGTGGTCGTAGAAAAACCATTTTAGTAAGCTTTTGAAGTTTTTTATTAATAAATAATTTAATAATTATTTTAGTGTAATATTAATGTTCGGGTCTATCTATGCAACATAAGCTTTAACATTGTGTTTTATTTTTATTGGCGACAATTCGGTTGGTGTTTAAAAATAATTGGATTTCAAAAATTGTTTTTATATTTTTTAAAAAGCTCCATCTTATGAAGAAAAAAATATTGTGACATCTATTTTCCATGGCCTTTATGATTATTAGATCTCCAAAAACGTAAAAAAATATTTTTTAAATTTAAAAACAAATAGCGAAAAACTCCTAAAACGATAATAATGTATCACAATTTTATACAGGATGGTCAAAAATTAAGATTAAAAAATCTTTTTATTTTAAAATTTTGCAAAAGTAATCTTTTAAGTACCAGTACAAATTTATGTATAGTTCATTCAATAATATTATGCCTATTTCCATTTAAAATAACATTTTTTTTTATAATTCTTCACCTTAATTTGTGAAGCTTGAGTAATAAAACTAAGTAAATGTTTTTACAAAATCTTTGCTGGACTTTATACATTGTTCTTTAAAAAAATCTTTTATCCAGTATGGTACTGTATAAAATTGTATAACAAAGAGGTTTTTCGGTATACCAAATTCAAAAACGCCATCTGTTTTTAAATTTAAAAAATGTCTAATAAATTTGGCATATCACATGTTTTTTTCTTTAAAACATAGAGCTTTTCGAGTACTACAAACTTTTTTTTAAATCGGTCCATTTTTAAATAAATACCGACTTGTCGATAATCAATATGAAAACACTGTATGTTAATAAAATAATTGCATTTTTAAGCCAACTTTGATTTTTATTTATTGAACTACTGAAATAGTTAACGAACCGAGTGTATTGCGAATAGCTTAATATTGTGAATAGGAAAAAAACTCTAATTAAAACTTTTAATGCGGTGGGAATTTCGAATTAAATAACAATAGACAAAAATTCTTTAGATTATGCCTAAAAAATGTTTTGACAAAAAATAACAATACAATTAGGAAAAAATTGATACATAGTTATGTTAAAAAATTAGTACTCAAATATTTAATTAGATTTAGCAAAATATACATATATATATTATATATATATAGTTCCTTGTAGATTAAGCTAAATATTAACACTCAGTTCAAAATCACATATCGTCAATATCATTTCGACATAAATTCGAAATGTATAACCATTTTCCATTTTCTGGGTTTGTAATCAGTTTTGATCAGCTTTAAAATGTTCTTGGTAACATATTAAAATGTTAGTGTTTCACGATGGAAAATATCGAAGTTGGCAAACAAATGAACTGTGAAAAACAATGGCCGATTGATGTTTTGTCGCGGCCTGCTTCCTTTTATGTTAAGCCAGCGGGTTTTTCGCTTTTATTTTAAGATGGTGTTCTAAAATCAGTCAATAAAAAGTTAAAATATAACTTATCGATATCGCTGCGGTAAATATTTTCGTTTTTTTGTTCGTTTCTTGTCCCAAACTAGTCGTAGAGTTTAATTTAGCAGCCTTATTTATTCGGAGAAAATTGCACTGCAGCTTTGAGGTATTTACAAACTTTAACCACACAATGCAACCCATTATTTAGCTCTTGGAAGTTTTGCATGATGGAAACTTCTAGATGCAGATATATACATACGAGGATAATTTAAAAGTTTTATACATAATTTATAGTTTTTCCAAAACTTCATAGCAAATGTACCAGATGTGTGTAAGAAGTATTAAAATCAATTTATTGATTTGTGAGTACTTTTAAGGACCAAATAAACTAAAGAGAAGCGTTTAATTTTATTTCAATGTCTCTAAAAAAGAAGTTGAGAAATTGTCTAGGTCAAGTTTGGTTTCCTAAAAAAAATAATATTAGACTATTAAAATATGAAATAGTATGTACAGGGTGGTCATAAAGTGAGAACTTTTGTATTATTAATTTTTAGAAAAAAAGTTCTGCTTTCTAAAAAAATAATATTTGAATATTAAAACTAAATAGCAGGGTGCACCCTGGCATGGTCATAAAATAGGAAAATTGATAATTTTGATAATTGGTCCTAATTTTTATTTTAGAGCAAAATAAAATAAGGAAATGTTGCTTACAATTAAAAGTTAATTGTAAGTTTAAATCCATGACCTCCTATTAAAAAATGGCTAATAAAATCTTACAAAGTTGGATATAAAGGCAAATCTGCTTATGTACTTTTCTTTAAAATATTTACTTGAAATGCTTGTTACTATAATAATTATTATTGTATTAAGGAAAATAAAGGATTATGTTATTATGAATTATTATTAAAAAGGTGCCACTAACTCTTCTGATTATTTTAAGAGAATTAAAACTCCAGAAAATCGATTTTACTTTAAGGAAGTGACATAATATATTATATTTAAGTAATAGATATAATTGGCAAAATTAAGTCAAAAAACAGTTGTGATATTAATTATTACAAGTATCATTAAAATAGTCAATTATTTAAATCCGTCCAGCTAAGCTAATTAACGTGTATTTTTAAAGGCTATATCGATCTTGCCTGTTTCTAAGATTATTAAAAAAAGCATGGTCAATGAAATTGTTTTTTTTTCACGAAAACAACATATTAAGTGCGTGTCAACATGATTTCATGAAGGGTAAAATTACCACATCTGCAATTCTATACAAATGCATTTGCAATTCAAAATTTTCGAAAGAATCTTCCATTTAAATGGTACAAACAATTCTTTCGAAAATTTTGAATTGCTAATGCAGTGTTTTGAGATCTAAGCAAGGCCTTTGACTGTGTTTCTCACTCTTTGCTTATAAAAAAGCTTCGAACCTACAATTTTTCTGAAAAAAGTTTAAAACTAGTTAAATCAAATAGATATTATCAAGTTTGCAAACTGGAAATGAGTTGAGTCAAAGTAAAACTCTTAATGTCTTAAGGTCTCTCTTCTTGGACCTA